CAAACATTTATGACCAATTGATATTTGACAAGAGTGCCAAATCCACTGCATGGTAGAAAGAATAGTCTCCTCAACAGATGGTGCTGAGACAACTAAGTTTCTATATGCAAAAGAATGAATCGGAACCCTACTTTACACCGTATTAAAATATTAACTCAAAATGGACCAGTGACCTAAAACCATAAAACTCTTAGAAGAAAACATAGATCTTGGATTTGGCAAAGGATTCTCAGATGTAACACCAAAAGCATGAGTAACAAAAAGTAGATAAACTGGATTTCACTCAAATTACTTTTTCCGTATCAAAGGACATTATCAAGAAAAAGACATCAGACAGAATGTAAAATATTTGCAAATCGGGGAGTTTAACTCCAGAATACATTTAAAAATTCCTACAACAACAAAAAGACAAATGATTCAATTAAAATATGGACAAAGGATCTAGATAAACCCCTCTTCAAAGAAGATAGACAAAATGGCAAATAAATACAAGAAAAGATGCTCAACATCATTAACTATCAGAAAAAGGCAAATCAAAACCGCAATGAGATACCAATTCATACCCACTATGATGGCTACCGTTTCTGTAAAAAGGGAACAGAGTGGCCAATGACTGTGACTACTGCAATACATACCTCACCCACGACTCTCCATTTATGAGAAAGACATACTGCAGTGGTAGGAAACAGAGAGAGAATGTGAAAGATTACTATTAGAAATGGATGGAAGAACAGGCTCAGAGCCTGACTGACAAAACAAGGGTTGCATTTCAACAAGGAAAGATATTTCCTACTTCAATCTCTGTTCCTCCGCCGGCAGGAACAATGATACCACCTCCCTCCAGTCTTCTGGGTCCTCCTCACCCTGGTATGATGCCAGCAGCCCATATGGGGCCCCCTCCTAGGATGATGCCAGTGGGACCTGCTCCTGGAATGAGGCTGCCCATGGGAAGCCACATGCCAATGATGCCTGGGCCCCCAATGATGAGACCTCTTGCTTGTCCCATGATGGTGCCCACTTGGCCCAGAATGACTCGAGCAGACAGAAAGGATAGAGGGGAGGCCTCCCTATGTCAGTTTTATATTACTTGTTCTACTTCACCAGGAGATTACAATGCTGTGACTCTGGGTGTTTTCTTCACAGGCTGATACAGGAAAGGTGCTCCCCCTTCCTATTAAAGAGACAATAGTTTTGGAGTAGAGAAGTGGGACAAAAAAAAGTGCAGTTTTTATTTATATTGTGAAATATGAAAATAAAATTGTCAATGTTTTTTAAAAAGAGAAAATATATGTTAGAAAGAAAACTGGAGACACTGAAACACTTGCGCACTGTTGGTGAGAATGTAAAATGGTGTTAACCACTGTAGAAAACAAGTTTGGTGGTTTCTCAAAAGCTAAATATGGAATTACGAGGCTAGGCACAGTGGCTCACACTGTGGGGGACTAAGGTGGGAGGATCATGTGAGCCCAGGAGTTAGAGACCAGCCTCAGCAACATAGTGAGACTCTGTTTCTACAAAAAATAAACAAAATAAGCCAGGCGTGGTGGTGTGCACGTATAATCGCAGCTCCTGAGAAGGCTAAGGTGGGAGGACTGCTTGAGCCCAAGAGGTCGAGGCTGCAGTGAGTCAAGACCACGTCACTACACTCCAGCCTGGGCGCCAGAGTGAGACCTGTCTCAAAAAATAATAAGGCCGGGCACAGTGGCTCACGCCTATAATCCTAGCACTTTGGGAGGCTGAGGTGGGTGGATCATGAGGTCAGGAGTTCAAGATCAGCCTGGCCAAGATGGTAAAACCCCATCTCTACTGAAAATACAAAAATTAGCTGGGCGTGGTGGCAGGCGCCTGTAATCCCAGCTACTCAGGAGGCTGAGGTAGAGAACTGCCAAATGCAGGAGATGGAGGTTGCAGTGAGTTGAGACAGCGCCACTGCACTCTAGCCTGGGTGACAGAGTGAGACTCCATCTCAAAAAAAAAAAAAGTATAATAATAAAATAAAAAATAAATATAGAATTGCCATATAATCCAGCAATTTCACTCCCAGGTATATACACAAAAGAACTGAAAACAGACATTTGTATACCAGTGTTTATGGCAGCATTATTCGCAACAGCCAAAATGTGGAAACAACACGAGAAACAAAATGTGTTATATCCATGCAATGGAGTATTACTCAGTCATGAAAATAAGTGAAGTTCTGATACATGCCACAACATGGATGAACCCTGAAAACATGCTAAAAGAAATAAGCCTGATACAAATATCATATGATTCCAATTATGTGAAATATCTAGAATAGGCAAATTCATAAATAAAAGGTAGATTAGAGGTTACCAGGGACTGTGGGAAATGGAGAGTTATTGCTTAATGGTTACAGAGTTTGGGGTCATGAAAAATTTTGGAAATAGCAGTGATGGTTGTACAACATAGTAAATGTAGTTAATACCACGAAATCATACATTCAAAAATGGTTGAATCTTACTACAATTAGAAAATTATGCAATGGGGCCAGGCATGGTGGCTCACAACTGTAATCCCAATACTTTGGGAAGCCAAGGTGGGAGGATCACTTGAGTTCCAGGAGTTCAAGATCAGCTTGGGCAACATAGTAGTGAGATCTCATCTCTATAAAAAATTTTTAGGCCGGGCATGGTGGCTCATGCCAGTAATCCCAGCACTTTGGGAGGCCGAAGAGGGCGGATCATGAGGTCAGGAGATCAAGACTGTCCTGGCTAACACACTGAAATCCCGTCTCTACTAAAAATACAAAAAAAAAATTAGCTAGGCATGGTGGCGGGCACCTGTAGTCCCAGGTACTCGGAAGGCTGAGGCAGGAGAACAGTGTGAACCCAGGAGGCGGAGCTTGCAGTGAGCTGAGATAGTGACACTGCACTCCAGCCTGGGCGACAGAGCAAACCTCTGTCTCAAAAAAAAAAAAAAAAATTTTAACTATTATTAGCCAGGTGCGGTGGTGGGCATCTGTAGTACTCAGAGGCTGAGGTGGGAGGATGGCTTGGGCTCAGGAGGTTGAGCGTGCAGTGAGCCATGTTTACACCACTGCACTCCAGCCTGGGAAAGTCAGCGAGGCCCTGATGGAAGAAGAAAAGAAAGAAAGAAGAAAAGGAAGAAAGAAGAAGGAAGAAGGAAAAAAGGTAGAAGAAGAAAAATAGGAATAAAATTATGCAATAAAACTCTAATTGAAATGTAAAGCAATGTCAATCCAGTCCACAGTTTAAAATAAGAATATATTCATTCTTGGCTATAAATATCATCTTCTATTCCTATACTGTTACAAACTTCCTAGGTTATTCAAACAACTCATTGAAGATCATTAGCCCTCAATTTCCTCACTCAAAAAGTGAATTTCTAGACAATTTCTATGTATCCTTCTAGGTAAAACAATCTGACATTTCAAACACCATGGCTTTCTGAGTGTTCAACTCTACTAAGTACAAAGCAAAGTATTTCCCACAACTTTGTTTTTACCATAAGCTTGGTGATTCCACAGTAGTAATTTCAACAAAAAATTACATGTAACTTTCATTTTATGTATACCTACACACAACAGAGAGCTTCCTCCTTCTGTCAAAAATTACATTGGACCACAACAAATTCACTTCTGATCTCAACGCAAATTCCTAATTTCAGCTTCTAAACATCTAGAAGTAACCCTAGAGAATATATAGCCCGTGAGTAGTTTGTGCCACCCTCATTTCTGAGAACCCAACTAAGCTTTGCAATATACCCTCTTTACAGAAAACATGCAAACCAGCAGCATACGTGCATACCCATACAACGATACACAGATCTGTGCTCGGAGGATCCGATGGAACCCCACTATGGTTAGTCTTCAGACCGCAAGTAAAGAACCCCTGGTTCTAAACCACACTGCTATTTGAAAGATGAGAGCATATACATTTGAAAAAGTCAATCACCTCGAAGTCAAAGTAGTTAAAACATGCTCAATCTAGCCTTACGTTACACAGTAACAGCCCTTAAAATGAAGTAGTGCAGACTGTACATAAACGTACGTCTATCATTCAAGAACTTCCCCGGTGCCTATAATGTCTCAGGTACCAATACTGCCCTTAGTCCTAGGTCCTGCACTTTAGAAGGCTCTGTGTATCACGAACCCAAAATACGAAGGCAGTAAGTATTTTTCTGATTCATTTCAGATCTCTGGGAAAGTTTTTTGAAGACAATTTAGATAAGGGAACAGGTGGTTATCACAAGCCAAGCTGCTCCAGACCTGTGCCCTGCAAGTCAGTGTAGATCTGTGCAGCAGACCTACGCTCAGGCTCCCCAGGGCAGCTGGCAAAGGACAAGGCTTCTGCAGGGTCACTGGTGCCATGGAGGCCAGGCCATGGGGGTGGTGGCTGGATTTATACCTGTAAAAAAAATGTTTTTAATGATATATCATAGTTGGGGAGGACATGTAATAATATTTTATACATGTATACAATGTGTAATGCTCAAATCAGGGTAAACGGGCTATCCATCCCCTCGAACAATTATCTTTTCTTTGGATTTACGGCTTTGAACAGTTTAGATACAGGTCTTCTCAGCATACTGACATTTTTGGTCAGATAATTCTTTGCTTGGGAGGTGAGGAGTGTAGCATCCCTGGCCTCCAACCACCAGATGCCAGTAGCACCCTCCCCAGTTATGACAGCCAAAAACAGGTCTCTGGTTATTTCTGAATGTCCCCGGGGGTGGGGTGGAGTGGGGGGCAAAACTGTCCGCAGCTGAGAACCACTGGTTTAAACAGATGGTATGTGGCCCTGTATTGATAAGCCTGTTCTGACTGGGTCCCCACAAACATGTTAGGGGTGGGCCGGCAAGCACGTGACTTGGCTGAATTTAGACGGAGAGTTTTACACCAAAGCTCTCCCACTTGCCACGGACCTCCAGGATGGAACCTTCCTCCGTTTCAGCTGGACCTAAGCTTCAGAGGCCCCCTTCATATAGCAGGGTTAAGAGCACCTGTCAGGTAGGACTGCTGTGAGGATCCCATGAGGTGGTGCCTGGAAACTACTAGCTGCTTTACAAATGCTAGTTTTCTTTCTTCTTTTCATTAAAAAAGAACAATGAACTGAAGAGTTCCAAGACATATGCCACAGTAAGTGCTTTAGCAGCTGACTGTTAGGATAGGATTCCAGCCATCACGGAGCTATTTAATAATGAGGGACCCTGGAAAGGAAAACAAATGACTTTCTAAATCTAAATGCTTCAATCATCAGCTCTGTGCATCTGTTTTAACTTCCCAAACCATTTCCCTATTCCTTAAGACTCATCCAACTGCACCCCACTCTTCAGCCTATTTGTCCCCAGTGTTTTCTCTTCTTCCAAGTTTTGGTGTAGAACTGTCTAGTCACATCTACACTCCAGCATGAATATTGTCTTTTAAATCAAACACCTCTGAAGGCTACAATAAATTAATTCCACTGATATACCACTGTGTAACATGACATGAGGGCTCTTCTTTCTTCCTGAAAGAACTATCTTTAAATTTAATTTAGGTGCTACACAGGATAAAAATGAGTATCAATACCACATAGTCACACGACTCTTATACTCCAAAAGTAAATATAATTCATCTGACGAGAATGGTTCATCAGATGTTGCTTTGAATGGCTTCTAGCTATTTCCAAAAACCTAACCTACCTTGAAGGGTAAAGATTTTCCACCACTGGGAATCAAAGGTTACATTGTGAGACTCTGAAAGCAATTTAAAAAGGAACTTTGGGAGGCCGAGACAGGTGGATCACGAGGTCAGGAGATCGAGACCATCCTGGCTAACACGGTGAAACCCCGTCTCTACTAAAAAACACAAAACACTAGCCAGGCGTGGTGGCGGGCGCCTGTAGTCCCAGCTACTCGGGAAGCTGAGGCAGGAGAATGGCGTGAACCCGAGAGGCGGAGCTTGCAGTGAGCTGACATCCGGCCACTGCACTCCAGCCTGGGCAACAGAGCCAGACTCCATCTCAAAAAAAAAAAAAAAAAAAAGGAAGGGGTGTTCCAAAATGTTTTCCAGAATGACAGCATAGATGAAATGTGTATGTTGCCCCTAAAGTGCAAAGCACATTTCATTGTGCAAGTTTTTAGTCATGTTCCTTCACAGTCACATTGTTTAAGCAGGGTACCAAGT